GAATGAGTTCATGGGCTGTACTGGAATGTCAAAAGGGTCTGTGACACAAAAAGGGTTAAGAACTCCTGACCCTAGAGCAGAATTCTCTGTCCAGTGACTGACCTCTTCAGCCATCTGGTTCTTCCCTGTTTTATGAGGTCCATTTCCACCCTTTCTACAACTCCCTTACTTACTCCCCTTGGCTTCAATGTGAGATAATACCCTACAAATAGGACGTTAATTAACTATTAGCAAATCTGCTAATTAAGGTCCCATTTACCCCAGTTTCCCTGGTCCTCCTTTGGATTGGATCTTCTCTTTAGCAGCATTTACTGAATGGATGCAAGAGTATTGGGACTGTCCATTCAGAAACCAGAGTGATGCATGTATGCACCACCATTTACACTGGATGTGAAAGAGGAAGGAAATGACTTATGGGGCTGCAGAATACTGAAAGGAAGGAAGCAGTTAAAGGGTTGATTATCCCCTGGAGGTCTATGTTACTCCCATTAACACTAATGGGAATTATATACGTGCTCCAACCAAAGAGCCCTTCTTTGCCTCTGACTTTGGTAAATTGTTTCTGCTCTGCCAAAAGGGTTTCCATGGAGATTTCCAAGTTTCCTGATCTCTGCTTCGGGGAGACCCAATTTTTAGAGAACCGAGATAGGAGGCATGTGGGTGTAGCTCTGTGGCCATATTTTAACAACAAATTTAACAAACATCTAAGTCCCTGCTATGTTCAAGGAGGTGAATATAATGATCCTGTCATCTCCACCGATGACAATACTACGCCTCCTTCGAATTTTAGCTCAAATGTGACTGCCTCCATGAAAATTTCCCTGATCTCCTCAGATGGGCTCATCTCAGCTTCATCAGATCTCATAGCACTAGGTACCACCTTTATGCATAATCTTCTTTGTGAAGATGATAGCCAGCATTTATATGTTGATTTAAGGCTTGCAAAATGCTTTATATATGTTATTTCATTCATGACAACATTGTGAAGGAGGTGCTATTATTATCTCCATTTTACAGATGGAGAGACTGAGTCTGGGAGAAGATCACACAGCAGGTAAATTTCTGAGGGAGGATTTGAATTCAGCTCTTCCTGACTCGAAACCTACAATGCTACCCATTGTACTATCCAGTTGTTATCATTATTTTACTATAAGCTGCTTGAAAGCAGGGACTGGGTCGAATTTATTTTTGTGTGTTCCCCAGTGGCTAGTAATAATAACAGCTGACATTGATGGAGCACATCAAAGTTTCCAACAAACCTGTGAGGTAGGCACTACAAGTATTGTCTCTACAGATGAGGAAACTGAGCCTCAGAGATCTACTTATATATATACTGACACAGTGTCAGAAGAAAAATGTGAACACAAGTCTGTCCCAACCCTAGCCCAGCAACAATGTACTTTGCACTTAGTTACAAAATTGGTTGTTTTTTTTTTTAAATTTGAAGGACGAATGAATGAATGAAACACTGGTAGGGGAGATAAGACATGTACATCTATAATGCCAATACAAATAGGAATGTGTTAATTTGAATACAGTATGTGAGCAATTTTTGCAAAAGCACAGAAGAGAATTGAAGAGGCAGAGATTACCCTCATCTCCTTATGGCACCATGTTTTGTTTAAATGAAATAAAACATGTAAAAGGCTTTGAAAACATTAAAAGGCTATATAAACATCAGTTATAATTATTATTATTCTGCATCTGGCCAATGTACTTATGGAATATTGTAGACATTTTTTTGGAAAAAATCATTGCTGTTACTGCCATAAATCTTAACAGTTTTTAAGAAGAGGAGTAGTCCCAATGGATTGAGATCTCTTTAGGGGTTTGATAACATTTTTTAAAAATGGTAACCAAAGCAGTGAGTTAAAAAGCAAACCTAGATATCTGAGATTTTAGGGAGGCATCATGGGTGGTATAGTGGCAAAGGATCTGGATATCAAAGGAATTGGCTTTGAAATTTGGCTTCTGTCATTTATTAGCTGTATAAGGCTTGTATAAGTAATTTCTCCTCTCCCCCCTCAGTTTCCCAATCTTTAAAAAAAATCTGTAAGATGAACTCAAAGGTCGATTGTATGGATATTGTGCATTATGATTATCTGAGTGTGTCTTTTTACCCTAGTAAATTGTAAACTCCATGACAACAGGAACCTGGGTCTTTCTTATCTAAACTTTGCATATAGCTCCCTCAGTGCCCAGCACAATAGATTTTTAATTAATGTATGATTCACGCATGCATGCTTGAATGAATGAATGAATGTCGAACTTGGTGCAGGGCAACCTCGGGCTTCGACCTGAGCCTGCAAAAAACGCTGTTTAGGAATTGCGTCTTTCTACTGAAGGAAACAGATTTCAGGCAGTCACAGCTGATGGAATCCACCCTCCTGCAGCTTTCTTTCATCTCTGATGGAATTGGGGATAAGAGGCAGAGATTTCTTCAGGAGGGTTTCCGTATAGTTATACCACCTGACAGAGCGGGTGGTGGCTGTTTTCTACCCAATTTTCTCCTCTGTTCCTATTCTCTTGCTCGGAGACCGCACTGAATAAATAACAGAAGCAGCAAGTGTTATTTGAAAACTCTTTAGTGTAATTACAACCACCAATCTTGCTGAATTTGGAAATGATAGATGGGAAATCTTCATTTTCAAAGCTCTATGTCCTGTGAACGAAGAGTTTGCTCGCCATTAGCACTGGAGTTGATCATTAGCTCTAATGCTTGCAGGTTCCCTTTTTCTCTCTCTCTTTTTTTTTTATAAAGCCCATTATGCTAATCACCTTGTGTTCCACTTTTCAATAAAAGGTCAACAGTGCACTATTTGCTCAGAATGTGCAATTTAAACTTCATGTCTGTCGTTAGAGATAATCTAGGTTTGCTGTATCAAGTGGGGTTGTCATAGAAACTAGACCTGAGATCTCTGTTTACTGCCTTTGGAGAGTAAACATTTTGCATCTATTTCTCTGGGAAAAAAAATAGTCAAACAATTAAGTAAGGTTTGGAAACAAAACCATAATAGCCCAGAGAGATCTGTCATTCATCAAAAATCAATAAATGTAATGTGGTTGGTAAACTCTTGAGCATCCAAGTAGTTGACTGACAGAAACTGTGAAATATTTCCCCAGGGACCAGGAAGTAAGGGATAGAGTATGTATTCCAAGGTGGAGAGCAGAATTCATTTAAATTTGCTAATGGGCTTTGTTCCAGGCATTGTAACCCTGAAGAATATTTGTATACATTGCATTTAGCTGTCAGATTAGGTTTTTTTTTTTAAACAAAGGTATCTGCTAGGATGCCCATTTGTGAGTTCTAACTAGCAGGTTTCCAGTTAAGGTTTCAATAATCTTCCTTCACCTCATTTGAAAAAACAAACAAACCTCTCCTCAGGCTTCTTGGGGTCATTTTTCCTTTGTACAAGGGGTTCACCTTTTTTGACAGTTGAACCCTTGGGGTCAGTGGGCCTCAACGAGTAATCCTTTGACCCTTCTCCCCTCCCGTCCCCTATCAAGCTCAAACTAAACTTTAATGCAGGCAGGAGTAATCCCGTCAAACCTCGATGTAATCCAAAAGGGGTGTTCTTCACCTCCTCCCCACCCAGAGCTGTTACGTGACTTAGCTCAGGCCCTCAGTATCTCCAGTTGAGTGAAAAAGAAAAGGGGAGGATCAGAGCTCTCCCTGGACTCTGAGGAGTGACCTTAATGTGTAATAATAATCAATTAACAGCCTGAATACTCTGGTGATGGTGACTGGCTGCTGAAGGCTAGAGCCGCTTTCTGGCTCTGGAGGAGTGGCTGAGTCATATTATTCTAATTGATTCATTGATTCATTTTTTTATTGAAAGGAGGGTTGGGGAGGAAGTGTTATTCAACCCAGCTCCTTCTTGGAAGGCTTCAGCAAGCTTATTGTTAGCAGTAGAAAGGCAAAGTGAAGCAGTGCTAGATAAAGTGCTTTATTTGGGAGTTGGGAATCCCTAGGTTCAAAGCCTGCACTGCCCCTCCCCCCGATTTATCAGCTGTGTGACCCCAAGCAAGTAATTCAGCCTCTCTGGCCCTCAGTTTCTTCATCTGTAGGATGGGGAGGAGGGTTAGATTTGATGATCTCTCGGGTCCCTTCCAGCTCTAACTCTTGGGTCCCTTGGTGTAAGAGAGGTTCCGCCTCCATGCGGCCTTTATTAATGAAAAAAAGACCAGTTTTCTAGACTGGGGTTGCTCCATCCCTGGGCTTGGCAGAGTTTTGGAGATTCAGCGGTGTTATTTGGGAACTATTCTTTCCTTCTTATCTTATCATCTTTGTAAGTACCAAATATAGATGGTGTATGTAAGGGTTTTGCTTGCTGGATATAAAGGTGGTTTTAAGAGGTTTCTGCCCTCAAAGAATTTGCAATTTAATTGGGAGAAGAGGATCATAGAATATTAGATGCAGAAGAAACCTTGAAGATTACCTAGTCTAAGCAGTCCTTAAGAGAAAGCCTTTGAACTTGTCTTTTAAAAAAATATATTTTGATAATGATTTCAGTACACTTTTCTTTGCAATCCTATGTATTTTATTTTATGTATTTAAAAACATTATTTGGAGGAGTCCATAGGTTTCATCAATTCACCATTGGTTCATCAGATTTCACCAAATGGCTCCAGGGCACAGAAAAAGTCAGGCCTCCCTGATCTTGTCTAATCCTCTCCTTTTATAGGAAAGGAACCCCTGGTCCAGAGAAGTGAAGTGATTTAATTGATGTTATGCATTCATTTGTTCATTCACCAAATATTTGCAGACTACTTGCAATGTACAAGACATTTCATTGAGTTAGAGATACAAATATGAGGAAGACGGTGGTCCCAGTCCTGGCAGACCTTACAGCATGAGAAGAGATAAGATTGTTGTTTGCCCTTAGTTTTCAAAGAGGACCAGTGACATCATGAGGTGATATCTTGACTGTAGCGGGAATTGGATTTAAGTGAGGCAGAGTTGGGCAAAGTTGTCAGTCTCATTCTCTCTTCCAGAGTCCTCAAGAGTATGGTGTCAGGATGAAAGTCAGGACAACTGGTGATGGCCCAGGATGGAGTGGATGACCTTGGCATCTTCCCTGTCTGACTAAGCACCTGCTTCAGCCTGTAGGAACGAATTGTTCTCATTTGACCATTCTGCTGGAGGAAGTCTTAACATGCTTCAGGTAGACACTCCCCTAACTCATGGAGGGGTTTGAGGCCCATCGGTTACCCTGAACCTGGGTTAGCACATCTGCTCAGACAGTTTTACCAGGATGAGGCCACTGTGCATGCTACAGCTTCTGGGAGCCACAGGAGAGAGTTAGGGGACCGGTGGACACCAAAGGTGGAGGAGCAGCCCTGAAAAGGGCTTGGCAAGCCCTAGTGCAGAGGAGCTAGTGGTCCTTGAACACCTCATTCACCTCAAAAAGTTGATACATAAATAAATAGAATAGATTGTGGTTAATGCCTCTAAGCGGAGACACAAAGCAGTTCAGAGGAAGAAAAAAATCACTTCTATTTGACCCATAGTAAGGAGTGAGATCAGGGAAGGCTTCATGAATCAGATGGCATTTGAAATAGGCCTTAAGGGTCTGTAGACTATCAACAGGTGAATACGGGATCGAAGGGGAAGAGTTCATTCCAGGCCTAATCGTAAGCACTATGGCTAAAAAGAACAATTTGGCTTCATTGCTGGGGATGTGAATGAAAGTAATGGGATCAGATTGGAAAGCGAGGTTGATAGGAAATGTTAGAGGACCATGCTTGACTCTCACTTTTGTATATTTTTACCACAATGAACTGCCTCTTCAAATAGAATGGGAGGCCTTTAAGGACATGACCCATAGTACTTCCTTTTTTATTCTTTATGGTGCTTAGCAGTACTGGATTGTAGACTATGGAGATAGGACACTGTTGTGTCACTATATAAGGCATGCACAGAAAAGTATTCTTATGGCTTATTACAGAGTTGTAACTAGCATAGGGCAACAAAGGCTTTGCATCAGGGTGCTGACACAGTGGGGTGAGGAGCTTCTCTTTATGCTGTCCTGGTCCTGGGCCTTTTGGACTTCCATGGTACAACCACCCTCAGATTGCTTGTCCATCCCAGGATCATGGACCATGGAACCTTTCCACTGACTGCCTTGCTTGAATCCCTTTAGGGATGAGGGTAGGACCACCCCCTCTCTCAAAATGATTCCATCTTGGATGCTGTGTACTGCCCCCATCCACAAAGCCTTCCCTGGGCTCCAGCTGGCTCATCTGTATAATGGGGACATTGGACCAGATGGCCTCTGAGGTCTCTTCCAGCATCATTCTTTGATCTTATGATTTTCTTTCCCCAACTGTTTTTGCTCTAGATAAAAATATTCCTAGTTATTTTATAATCGTGGCCTTGTATATTGATATTTCATTCTTATTACCCTAATTAGAGACAGCTAGGTGGCATAGTGAATAGAGCTCTATGCCTAGAGCTCTGGAGTTAAAATCCAGCCGCAGACACTTATTACCAGTGTGGTCCCGGGCAAGTCCCTTAAGTTTGCCTCCGTTTCCTCATCTATAAAAATTAGGATAATAATAGCACCTACCTCCCAGAATTGTTGTGAGGATATAATGAGATGATATTTGTAAAGCACTTTGCAAACCTTTATATAAATTATATAATTTAAAATATGTATAATGTATATGAATATAAAATATAATTTAAAATATATAATTTATATATGTTATATAAATATGAGTTGTTAAGTATTATTCATTGATGGGATTGGCTTGTCCAGTATGTCTATTTGAGATAAACAGTACAGATGGACAACAAATGGAACTTGAAGATGAATGGAGGAGGAGAGCAGGCTATGTTGCTGTCAGTAAATCATGCAGTTCCTTTAAAGAACTCAAGCTTTCCATTGCCCATTTAAAGCATACCGACATGCTACTGGTATCATTGAATGGCATCAAGACCTGGAATATTGCAGTCTCTGAACAATTAAAAATTGATACCACACAGAGGGCAATGGAGAGGTAGTGAGGGGTGTGAACAAAATAGATAACCAAGGCAAAGAATGATATCAAAAGAAGAGATGGTCACTTGGGGAGGGCAAGGGATGATAGAGGGACAGTCAGCTGGAGGAGAAAGTGAGGAAGACTTCTAGCACATTGGGTGGTGCCCCTATGGTGACCTTTCATAGTGAGCCCAGAAAAGAATATGGTGGACCTTATGGAGGAGATGGTGGAGATGGTGGCCATGTTATTCTGAAAGTTGACAAGCATGTCCAATCATTATCTTTGGTTCTTTCAGTGTTTTGGGGGTTTGATGGAGAGGCTGGTGGAAGCAAAAACTGTTATGGGCTAGCCATGAGCTAGGTTGCCCAGGATGGGCAGATATGGATGAGTTGGGGTCTGTATTGTTGAAGGGCACTCCCAATCTGATGAGATCAAAGATCTATTGGGGTATTTGAGTTGTCTTGATTTGAAATGATTATCTTGCTTTGCGGGAGTCATTATACTATTTACTACTCCAATTTTTCACTCCCTACATAGCTTCTTTCTTCTTCTTCTTCTTCTTCTTCTTCTTCTTCTTCTTCTTCTTCTTCTTCTTCTTCTTCTTCTTCTTTTTTAATATTCTACCCTCTTCTTCCTCTTCCTGGTGTTTGGTAGTTCCTGCCGGCTACTTTCCTTCTCTTGGGGAAGAAGATGCTCTAAGTAGCTTCTGATCCCTCTGGGATACTAGAAAAACATGCTGAAGAACACTCGTCATCTGTAAAATGAGGCAGTTAGACTAACTTACCTTTGTAATAATTTCTAGTATCATTGTTCAATTTTTCTTATTTGTATTCTTATACGCCTAATAGATAATTAACATTTGGAGGAGAGGTAGTATGGTTTAGTGGCTAGAAAACTGGATTTGGAGTTAGGTCAAGACCTTGTTCAAATCCTACTTATTATCCGTGTGACCCTGGGCAAGTAGGCTAACCTCTCTTTGCTTCAATTTTCTCGTCTTTAAAATGGGGAGTGTGTGTATGTGGAGAGATGGAATTAGCTTCTAAGGTCCCTTCCAGATCTAAATGTCAACATATCCCAAAGCATATGATGTCATGGACAAGTTCAATAAACATGCTCAATGATTACTTGTTGAATTGAATTGAATGCTTGGCCTAGGGCAGCTTAAAATGTGAACTGTTTCGAATCTGAGCATTTACTCAACAGAGAACCCTGTCTGTACATATCTCATTTCTCGGAATGTTGTTTTTTTCCTTTACAGTTATCTTTATCCAAACATTGAGTTTTTAGCTACTAGAACATTGAGGCAATTAGAACATAGTAGACAGATTATGAGGCTACCTTTGGGAACTGTGGAAGAGTAAATGGGGAGAGTGATAAAGGAAGGAAGATGAAAGTATGCAAGGAGAGAATGAGTTCTTTTGTCATTTGGAAGGCATTTCTCCTGAGAAGGGGCACCATGTCTGGCCACCTGAGTAAGGTCCACACTTTCCCCTTCCTGTTCTTGAGGAGGATGGAAGTTCTTTACTTTTTTTCCATCTCTCGGATCCCACCAGGTACTAGCTTTCTTTCATTAAGTATTGTCTTCAACTCAGTAAAGACCCAGCGTGTCAGGTAATAGATAGCTACTCACCCTAAAGGTTAATGGATTTAAATCAATTGGCTTCCACCCAACTTTACTGTCAACTAATCCAGCCCTTTGCCCTCCTGCCTCTGGGGCTACTTCCATTTGGAATCTGATAAAAGGTTGAAGATTCCTTTGATCTTACACTGCCTGCGTTACCACCAGCACAGGGAAGGAGGGGTTCTTAACAATCCTCCAGCAAATGTGCACAGACCACCTACTTATGTGTCAGGTACTAGAGTACTAGGAGGGAATAAGCATTTATAGAGCACCTGCTATGTGCCTGACACAGTGCTAAGAGCTTTACAAATATTATTTGTAAACAACAATTCTCTTGGTGTAAGTGGTGTTACTTTCCCCATTTTAGTTGAAGAAATTGAGGCACACTTGGGTTAAGTGATTTGCTTTAGGTCACAGCTAGTATGTGAAGCTGAATTTGAACTCAGGTCTTCCTGACTTCAGGCGCAGCACTCTATCTACTGCTCTACCTAGATGCTTCAAAGGGCTCTGGGCAGGGATCCAAAGACATCTAAGACCCGGTTCCTCTGCTAAAGTAGCTTAAAATCTAGATAAGGCTGGGCACATGCGGGTAAGGCAAGGCAGAAATTATAATAGTGAGCATTATATATGTTAAGTTTATAAAGCCCTTTACATATGTTATCTCATTTATCCCTTAATAATAGGTGCTGATATTATCCCCAGTTTATGGATGAGGAATTTATGGATGAGGGGTTAAGTGACTTGTCTATGGGAAGGGAGGGAGGGAAAGGGAATCATCATTTATAATTTGCCTACTGTGTGCCACCCAGTATGCTAAGCGCTTTTTGCAAATATTATCTCTTTTGATCCTCACAACAACCCTGTAAGGTAGGAGCTATTATTATCCCCATTTTACCATTGGGGAAAGTGACTTGCCCAGGGTCACACATCTAGTAAGTATCTGAAGTGGGATTCAAACTCATGTCTTCCTCACCTCCAATCCAGGGTACTACCCACTATGTCAAAAAAAAATAACACCAGGGTTGTCACCAGTTAATACATGAAATTAATACATGATTAATTGGCAAGTAAATGGAAGAGATAACAAGTGAATTCAGAGGATCCCTGAGAGCATGTGTGGACATCACCGAGAAGGACTGGCTTGAGCTGAACCTTGAAAGATGGATTTGGTTAGGCCAAATTAAGGGAGGAGCCTGTGGTAAGGAGAACTACCTGGAATGAGGTGTTCTGGGATAAGCCAGGAGCTGATTTGGTCAAAATGACCTACTTTGCTTTGGAGTAGGATTATATCTTACGTTTAATTAGGTAATAGTATAATAATAGCTAACATTTATATAGTGCTTACTCTGTGCCAGACGCTGTTCAGGTATTTTATAATTATTGTCTCATTTGTTCTTTACCGAGAGGTAGCTGCTATTATCATTCTCATTTTGCAGATGAGGAAACTGAGGCAAACAGGGTAAAGTGACTTGCCCAAGGTCACACAGCTAAGTGTGGGAGGCCAGATTTGAACTCAGGAAGATGTGCTATTGTAATTCTAGGCCCAGCAGCGCTCTATCC